AAGAAATACTATCCATTTTCACTCCTTTCCTTATCCCTTCTATTGCATGCCCTGGAATTCCCCACAATGGTATTCTAGAATCTGATCTATAATATTTCTTCCAAACACGCAATAAAGCAATTCTTAAGATATGGGACTTAAAAACCCTATCCACCTTTTTATTATAAATTAAATACGCATGCCATCCAAATAATAGATCCCATCCCTCCAAAAAAAGTATATTTAAATTTGTTAAGTTGATCCAGTCACTAATCAATGTTAAAACCACCGCATCATAATACAATTTCAAATTCGGCACTTTGAGTCCACCTCTCTCTCGAACATCTTGTATAATTTTAAGCTTAACTCTTGGTTTTTTCCCCGCCCAGATGAATTTATTGATACCCTTCTGCCATTCTTCTAAATTTGCCTCTTTCTTTAAAATAGGTATCATTTGAAACAAAAAAAGGAATTTTGGCAGAACATTCATTTTAACTGCAGCAATTCTCCCTAACAAAGATAATTGCAATTTTTTCCAATCATTCAAATCCTTCTGTATTTTAAACCATAACATTTCATAATTATTTTTATACAATTTTACATTAGAAGCAGTTATATAAACCCCCAAATATTTGACCTTTTTTACAACTTCAAAGCCCGTCAATTTAACCAACGTCTCCTTATCCAAATTAGTCATATTTTTAGATAGTATTTTAGTTTTATTATTATTGACTTTAAAACTGGAAACTTGTCCAAATTGATTTATCAACTGTAACTACTCTAATACAGAATAAGTTGGTTGAGACAAAGTAACAACCAAATCATCTGCAAAAGCTCTTAGTTTATAATCATTCTTATCAATCATTATTCCCTTTATTTTAGATGATTCACGAATTTTAATCAACAAAATTTCCAACATTAAAACAAACAACAAAGGAGACAGTGGACAATCCTGTGTTGTACCCTTTCCAATTTGAAAAACCTCAGATAAACCTCCATTAATTATAAGTTGTGCCGATTGTCTTTGGTAAATACCTCGAAGAGCTTGCAAAATTTTATCTCCAAAATTCATCTCTTCAACCAACCTTAACATAAATTGCCAATTTAACTGGTCAAAGGCTTTCTCAGCATCTAAAAAAATAAATCCTGCAGAAATCTGATTGTTTTTATCCAAATATTCTATTAAATTAATAATTTGTCTAACATTATTCTTCATATATCTCCCAGTTATAAAACCTGTTTGATCAGTATGTATCACTTGATTCATACTGTCATAAGTCTATTGGTTAAGATTTTTGAAAAAAATTTATAATCTACATTCAAAAGAGATATAGGTCTATAATTTTTTGGTAAAGTAAGATCTTGATCCTCTTTTGGAATCAAAGATATAAAAGCCCTTCCCCAAGATGGGGGAGTCTCTAAGCCCAATAATATTCAAGAGAGTCTATTCTATTGGCTTTCAAAAGCCAATAGAATAAAAGGGAGTAGCACAGCTAACGAAAAGGGGAAAGAAAATGGCGGACTGTGTTGTTTGGCGACCCCCGTGAAATGGTCGTTCGACCCCAAATGGGGTCCCGACCCACAGGTTGAGAACCACTGCTTTAAGGGCTCTATCATCTCATCACTTAAAGTCTTGTAATAAATTGATGTCAATCCATCGGTGCCAGGTGCTTTACCAGCTTTTAATTGTTTAATTGCCATAATAATTTCCTGTGAAGTAATAAATCCATTAATCTCATCTCTTTGATCATTCGATAACTTAGGAAAATGAGCATCTTGTAAATATTTATCTATATCTGAATTCTGTACCTTCTTACCCATATATAATTTTGTATAAAAATCTAAGAAAGATTTTTTAATCAATTCTTTCTGAAAAACCACTTTACCATTATAATTTATTTTATCTATAATTCTCGACTTCTGTTTCTTCCTTAATTGATAAGCCAACCACCTACCTGGCTTATTTGCATTACAAAATGTATTATGTTTCATATAAAGTAAATTAGTTGCAGCCTGATCAGCCATTAACATATTAAACTGTGTTTTAAGCAAATTTATAGAAGCCTTTACATTCTTATCCAAAGGATTCAAAATTAATGCTTTTTCTTTTATTTTGATCTCATCTTCCAATTCCTTATGCTTTTGCATCTGTTTTTGCCTGTAAGCCTTGTTCATTTGAATCAGAACCCCACGCATATAAGCCTTACTAGCATCCCAAACCATTGCCATTGAGGTTCCCTTATACATATTTAAAATAAAATATTCCTTTAAATACTCTCTAAGTTTCTGAACATTCGCCTCTTGTCTAAATAAATTTTCGTTCAACCTCCAAGATCTTCTCTCCTCTTTCTCAGCAACCAATTCCATCCATACAGGACTATGATCTGTCAATGTCCTTGGAAAAATCTTTATATTTTTTACTCTAAAATATAAATCTGTTGTAATCAGAAAAAAGTCAATTCTTGAAAACGATTGATGTCTGTCAGAAAAAAAAGTGAAGTCTCTCTCTTCCATATTACGTTCCCACCAGAAATCTCTCAGTTCCAAATCCTCTTTCAAGTAAAAAAAAAGCCTTAGGTAGTTTGGCTTGCTTGAAAGAAGTAGAAAATCTTTTCTTATCTCTATGTGTGTCCAAAACTCCATTCCAATCCCCCATCAGAATAACAGATCTATAATCCAATGAAATCAATTTTTGGTGTAAAAATCTATAAAACCCACTATAAGCAATTTCTTACCATACATTCCCACTTCAATCATAACATATCTCCCTTGAGAATCAGAATCTATTAATACAGCTGATAAATTTTCCTTAACATAAATAACAACACCCCCTTTTTCCCCAGGAGCAGAAAATACAAAATGAGAACCCAATCGAGCATTAATCAAATATTTTTGATCCTTTGAAATAATATGGGTTTCCTGCAAACAAACAATGTCATTATTATATTGCTTCAAATAATGAAATATTTTCTTCCTTTTCTGTGGAGAATTAAGGCCATTAACATTCCAGGTCAGGAGCTTTGCCATCTCCTCCATCTATTAGCCTAGAGAAGACTGCTTGAAGATCTACCATCGAAGATTGAACCAAGGAAGATCTCTTAGGTCTTGCTCCTCCCACAGGCTCAGAAGCAAATTCTTGTGTAACTTCTTTAATTTCCTTCTTCTGTTGCTCCTTTTCTTTTCGTCTATGTGCTGCTCAGGTCATTCTGTGTTCTTTCATCTCAGACTGCTGTAACAACTCTGCCTGTAATTTTCCAGCTTTCATCTTCGGCCAACTGCTCTCCCTTCTTCACTTCCAAAGCTTTAAACATTATAGATGGTGATGAGCGCGCTCCCAGGACCGAAATATAAAACTTTCTTGCCTTAGAGACAGTATTAAGTCTATAATGTGTCCCCGTGTGACTCACCACAATTCCAATTGGAATATCCCATCTAAATGGCATCTGCCGCTTTTTAAGTTCATCTGATAAAAAAGCAAAGTCCTTTCTTCTTCTTAAAATTTTAGATGGAATCTCCTTTAAAATTATAACATCCTGAGCAGCAATCTGGAATCTCTTATTGTAAAATGCTTGTATAATTTCATTGCGTAAAGATCTTTTTCCAAAATAAATCACCACATCTCTTGGCAAATTTCTCTGCTTTGCGATCCACGAATTGACTCTAAATATTTTTTCAATTTCTCTGAATATATCCTCTGGATCCCTCTCCAAAATCACAGCAATATCATTTGCCACCACCTCTCTCAGATTTTCTTGCATATTTTCCCTCAAGCCCCTGATTCTTAAAGCGCACTCCATCTCTCTGTACTGAGACATAACAATTTCATCCTGTGAAGTTTCCACCCTTTTTTCTACACTTTCAACCCTATCCTCCAATGAATCCACTTTGTCTGCAACATCCTCAATATGAGAGTCCAGCTTTTCAACAACAGAAACAAGTCCTTTCAAAGCCAATACTATGTCCTCCCTCAAGATGTTATTTCTCTCTTCTAAAAGCTCCTTCATTTCTCCTCTAATTTGACATACAACATTTCCCATAACATCTTGAGAACCCCCCCCCCATTTCTTGAAGTGGAGGTGGTTGAGTGGGAACAGAACAATTTAGCAAAGTCACTGGAGAGAGAAGTATATTTCCTTTGTCCTATCTAGATCATGCTTTAGATCAGGGCCTAGAAACTTCCTTTGGAGCAGGGGAGAACAAGTGTATTCCTCCTCCAGGAATAATTTGTTAGAGGTTGCAGAGAAATAATGGGGGGGGGGATTTGAATCAAGGAGTGATTTAAGGGCAACATTGTTTATCTTTCTGTCATTACCATTCCCTCTTTTTCCTTTTTCTTTCTGACGCACTCAGTTTCCTCAATTTCATTTTTGATGTCTTTCTGACAGAGAGCTTTTGAAATTATGTTGATGGCCACATATATTTGGCCATAGGCTGGTACATATGCCCTTCATCCTGTAGGTTGTTCACTTCTGCTTAAAACGAATTGCAAAAAGGATGCAATATGCATGGTACAAACTTAATGTAGATGTAACTAGATTCTCAGCATAGCACGCTTAGGTTGCTAATAATACGTAAGATAGCCTTAAATACATTTTTACAAATTTAGTAGAATGTAGAATAGTTACAGAACTTAATGTTCAAGACAAAGCAGGAGCATGGTATGTTTTTCATGGTTTTAGTTTTATGCTATGAGCAGAAAACTGGGGTCAGTCTTAGAAAAATAAAGCACCATGTTATGCACGTGTTTCTTTGTAAAAGGTATCTCAATACACAATTTGTGCTGATCTGCTGTCTTAAACAAGGCAAAGTGAGGATATCAGAACTAGTTTAAATCCTGAGATCCTCTATTTGCCTGGGTAAGCTCTGTATGTTGCATGAGGATACCATATAGCCTGCAGAATTATAATGCTCTATATCAACAAGCTCAAATCCAAAGAACTCCATTTGTCAAGGAACCTTATTGTCTTATTCTCATTTCTCCAGGACATCCTTTCATAATTCCATATCAAACACATACGAACCATACATCCAGTGGAGTCCAATTTTCGATCTGCGATGCAGCGGAAATTCTTGCTGCAACCCCCATTATCCTTGGAGCAGTCCCGTACTGGGCCAAAAGAATCTAGGAGAACCTCCAGGTTATCAAAGGAGGAAGAAGTCATCAGTTCCTCCCTGCAACATAATAAAACATATTTGCAATTATAGTAACAATTATAACTTAATAAGATTGTTGTTGTTAATTGCGAAGTTGTGTCCGACCCATCGCGACCCCATGGACAACGTTCCTCCAGGCCTTCCTGTCCTCTACCATCTTCTGGAGACCATTTAATAAGATAGAAAACAGTAATTCAGCACACCAGTGGTTCAAATATCACTGATGAGTGATATAAGCAGAAAAGAGCCTGAAGTTGATGAACTGTAATTCTTCCCATCTTTTACTACTCTTTTGAACAAGAGTGATGGGAATCAACCCCCCAAGAGGAGAGAGGCATAAAGTTCTTCATTATTTGACTGAAAAGCTTGCAATCTAAATTGTTACTGTAAAATAGAATGTGATAAAAGGCACAGAACAGCCAAAAATAAGTGACAGAGATAACATGACGTTAACAAGTTATTAATGATCACAATAATGCTTTATACAAAGAAATCTGAATATATACCAGATGACTTACAATACTGTGTTCCAACTTCAAATCTAATTGACTGATGAATGTTTCCTCATAGATTTTGCACATTTATTATTAGAAGTACACAGAAAGTACATTTGCTTCTTTAGTATACATATTTCTTTGACATCACTGATTAAATGGTTCAGAATTTTCCTTACTAGCCATAAACTTGCACTGTTTGAACTAATGATTTCAGAGTACAGGTCCTGAGAATTATGGTAAAACGTGTATTGTATAGTTTAGAGTGGAGCTTTATTGTGTTAAAGTTCTATGATTATCACCATACTCTGTCCAAGTACTTTTTTTCTCTTTCTTCTTTTAGGCAATCACAAAATATCAGTCAATTCTTTTTGCAACTGATGCATATAGCACTGCAGAAAGTTTTCAGAGCCGGATGTAGTATTTTCAGGACTATCACCGAGATGGATGAGAAATTTGATTGATTCCCATTTGGATACAAGCTTGCCAATTCTGCTATTTCTGAAATAAATACATAGATGAAAATGGACTCTTGTGGAGAAATGCTTCTTTCTCTGAATTTAATGTCTTCCTTCAAAATATAAACACAAAAGGTATATAAAGGATTGCTTAGGGAATATATACAGTATATATATAGTCAATTACCAATAAAACGTGAACACCAGGAATATAATAAACTATAAAAGTTTAATACCATCACCGATCACCAAGCTTTCGTCAGATACTTCTGACATCGTCAGGGTTAATGCTGGTCTATGGGAGAGTGCCTTTATAGGTGAGCCGTCATTTACACACAGCTCCTAGATCTTGTCATAGGTCCTAATTGATTTAACTGCTTTTTAATTATGGCTTCCATGCTGATGACTCTTCTTTTCTTGCTTTTACTGCTTGTGGGTATGTCATTGTTCCCCTCTACCTCCCACTGTCTTAGATTAGGGAGGTTCGTATCTCTAAGTTGTTCCCTCTTCACACCTCCGCGTCTCCTACCTTCCTCCTTCTTCTGATCTTTACTTGCTCCCCAATTGTCATCCCTCATTCTATGGGGGCGCACTCTCAGCCTTTCTCCCCATCCCTTGCTTTCCATTTCCCTCCCTTTGGCTGAATAATCTCCGTTTCTATCGTTGCCATTCCGTCTGACATCTACTTGCTCTTTCACCCCATTATCAATGTTCTCGGACTCCGTGTCAGATTGAATCCCTCAAATATCTCCTTCCTCCTCATACAAGTCCTTGTGTGCCCTCCTTTTTTGAATACGTATGCCTGGTTCCTTTATGTCCCTCCCTCCATCAACACAATGATCTTTTTTACAGTTTCTATCACGTTCTACACTTATTTGCATTTCCCCCCCCATTCACGCTGCTCTCGATCTCTATATCCTCTCGGGCGTTCTGATTGGTGCTCTGTTGTTTCTGTTGATGGACTGTCATCACAGGACAAGCCGGTCCCATCCTCCTTTTTTCTCGATGTTGCTGGATCATCGTTGTTTTGGGTTTCGGGGGATCGGGAATAATTGTTCATTGGCTAATTGCCTCTTTCTCATCATGCAACCGTTCCCTCACTGTCCGGGAGTGTGTGCATGGTCCTGGAGCAGGAGGGGAGGAGTCCCTCGATCGTTGATTATTCTCCTGAATGTCCATGGGCCGTTGCTGTTGTTGTGGGGGGCAAAAATTCATCCACTCCATAACTTCTTCCCTAGGGTTATGTGGTACTGTCGCAGGATGTCTCCTTAGGGGTGGGCGATCTCGCATGCTCCATGCTCTTAAGGTGAGATGTGCCGGGTACAAGTCAATGTGCTGGTTGACAGAGTCCCTGTCAGAGAGCCATGCCTCTTTTAGTAACCGGCCCTCTTTCATGTTGTCACTGGACAGGATGCATATATTATCAAAGTCAAAGCAATGTCCAGAATCTGCCATGTGCGCGCATACTTGGGAATGCTGTTCCCCCCTTTTTACTGCTAATTTATGCTCATGGACCCTAGTCTTCATTCTTTTTGAAGTCTCTCCAACATAATTGACAGGGCAATCTTTGCAGTTGATTTTATATATGATTGCCGATTTTTCAGTGTTGGGGAGCGGGTCCTTTGGGCGCATCACTTTGGATCTTAAAGTTTGATCAGGTCTGTGAGCCACCCTCACTTTATGGGGGGCTAACAACCTGGCTGTCACTTCTGAAACATTGCTGATGTAAGGGAGGGTGACACAGGTTATCTGTGATGGGAGTTCCTCCATATCCGGGCTCATCCAGGGTTTGGGTAGTATACTACAGCGTCTGATGAACCTGGTAGGGTAACCATTGCGTCTGCATATTTGGAAGAGATGGTTTCTTTCTTCCCTTTTAGCTTTGGCTGTGCTGCAATGGGAGTCTATTCATCTAAATAGCGTTCTTATACAGCTAACTTTGTGGGTCATAGGATGGTTACTAGCATAATGCAGAATTCTATCTGTATGCGTAGGTTTTCGGTATACCCTCGTGCTCAGGGTCCCATCTGGCTGGCGGTGGACCATTACGCCCAAGAACGCCAGTTTCCCTTGGTTCTCCTCCGTGAACTGAATGTCAGGGTATACCGAGTTGAGTATGCCCACAAGTATGCCTACATTGATGACCACGAATGTGTCATCAATGTAGCGGGCCCAGAATTTAGGTTGGTATTGGGCCAACGCTACATGCTCTAGTTGTTGCAACACAGCCTCCGCTATGACGCTAGAGATTGGGGACCCCATGGGTGTTCCTTTGACCTGTTCATACGTGGTATCTTGAAATGTAAAAAAGGTTTTTAAGCACACCTCTAAAAGGTCTACTAGATCGTTAATTTGGAGGGAGTCCTGTAGTTGTTGCCCTAGGCCCTTCTGGTTCAAGCGGTCCTTTATTACCGTGACCGCGAGATCCTGTGGGATAGAGGTGAAGAGCGACACGACATCAAATGACACCATTAGCTCATCATCCTCTATTCTTAGGGTCCTAATCATATCCAAGAACTCCCCTGCTGACCTTATAGTGGTAGTGCTATCGCTGACCAAGTGACTGATACGGTTACTCAGCCACCTAGCCAGACCCGAAGTCGGGGTATTCTTAAATGCTACAATAGGGCGGAGGGGGACGCCGTCCTTATGGATCTTGGGTAGCCCATAGAATCTGGCCATTGCTGACGTACCCTTCTCAAGGTGTTGTCCCCTATCCTCCCCCCATGTTTGAGGCCATTAAGTATCTTGTTGACACGATTTTTAAGTGCCGTCATGGGGTCCCTCTCTATTACCTTATACGCTGTAGTATCCTTAAGTAGTTCAAGTGCTTTGTTGGTATACTGCACCCTGTCCATCACGACTGTGGCCCTTCCTTTATCCGCGGGTAATACCACAATGGAGTTGTCTTTCTTTAATTGTTCCATAGCCTCCATTTCATCTTTCGATAGTACCTGATGGTTTTTGTGGTTCATCAACAGTCCTGTGACTTGTTGTCTGATAAAGTTCTTCACCTCTTCCCCCACCTCAATATGGCCCATAGCAGGTTCTAATGCTGCTACAAAATCCAATGTATAGGCGTCCATGAGGTTACATCCTGCGTCCTGTTGTAATAGAGTAAGTTGTGAGGGGGTGAGTGCTTTTGTTGAGAGATTACATACCAGCCTCACGGGAGGGTTTCTTTTCCCAGATTCTCGGAGGGCGTCCATCCTGTGCTGGAGTGTCCCTTTCACACGCTGGTTTGCTCTTCTGGCAGTTGTCCGAATATGCTGCTCCAATGCCTGAAAATGGTGGTCCATCAATTCATTACGGCATCGTTCCCGATGTTCCTGAGTCCATGCCTTTAGACTATTGATCCGTCTATGTAGGTCATTGATAAGTGCTCGTATAGTGCGGCGCTGATATTGATGGACAACTTGCCGGCATTCCATGGAGTTGATAGCAGGCTTTCTCCTGAGTGACTTAGGGGGAAGGTCCTCCTTAAGGCAGGCATGCAAGAATGCCAGTTTGCAGTAATTAGTCGAAATGCGGTGCGCAAAGCACCTATATATATATATATATAGGTCTTTGGTTATTCGGGTTTTCTCCCGCGTCAAATTGGAAGTGTCTTGGCGACGTTTTGATGAAGTCTCATTCGTCATCTTCAGGCTGGTGTTTTCGGCTTTGTGCTTCTAGGAGCAATGTATGATCTTCCTTTTAACTGCCAGTGGGGGTATGAACTGATTGGATGAGAGCTTGGCTGTGTTCTGATTGGATGGAGGTGTGTTCTGATTGGTTAGGAGCTTGGCTGTGCTCTGATTGGATGGGGGGTTGGCTGTGCTCTGATTGGTTGGGTGTATTCTGTTGGGTGGGGACTTTGTTGTGCTCAGGTTTGTCTGAGTTGCAGGGGGGTTTAAGATGGTGGGCTGCATTGCTATTTTTTGGCTTCGCGTTTGTGGTCGTTCTCATCTTCATGGTGGGTGTCAGTTTGCTTCATGTATGGATTGGAGGGGTTTAAAGTGTCTAATGATGCAGCTGTGGTCTGGCTTCTGGTTTGTGGTTGTGCCTCATCATTGGTGTGTGTTTGGGTTTGCTTTTTGCGTGGACGTATGGTGGTGACATCCTATGTGGCTTTCGTGAGTGTGGGTCTGGTGTCATTCTTTGTGTTAGGGACTCGTTTGTCAATAAGGGCGGGTTTCCAAATGGTTTCCAAATGTCTGGTAGGCGGGAGGTATCATCTCGTTTGCTCATGTTGTGTGGGCATTTTTCTATCTCAATGGCTTCTCTGATTATTCTGTTATTAAAGTGGTCGTGCCTCATCATCAGTCAAGGGAGTATATACAGGAAGTTTTTCAGACAGTTTTTCGGCTGGCAAAGAAATTTAGATTTGTAAATGTTTCGCAGTTGCAACTTAAGCCTGTTTAACGCCCCTAGTTGGGGGGCTGCAAGGCAAAAGAGATTGTAAAAAGTAGAACTGCAGTTTAGCAGTTAAAATGCCAAGATGTAATCAATCAGACCGGTCTGTCTGAAAAACTTCCTGTATATACTCCCTTGACTTGGCTGGCAAAGAAGGGAGGACAGCCTGTGGCTTGGTGGTTAAACAACTGTCTAGCATGTAAACTACCCAGGTTCGAATCCCATAAAGGGTGTGGCTAACTGAAGAGAGCAAACGAGCTTGAAATGGCCATCTTAGTCTCCCAATTTAATTCTTTAACTTTTTGTCAGAAAAAGAAATTTGGATATATATATATATATATATATATATATATATATATATATATATATATATATATATATATATTCAATAATGATGGTGAAAATGCGACTTCCGGGCATAATTATAAATGGAATGAATAAAGCGCGTTCACCAGGAGAGTTTAAAGTTAAAATACTTTAATTAAAGTATTTTACTATATTAAAAGGTTGCCAAGCTTTCGTTGGGAAAACTCCCCAACATCTTTAGGGCTTAGAGACCGTTTCTAACAAGGTGGTTCAAACAGGTTCCATAGACGTCTGCGCTTGGTTCCTAGACTGTGCCAGCATTCCCTGCTGAACAGCTGATAGGTGGGAGGGGGAATTGGAGTAAAGATTTCTTCTGTCGTTCTCTCTCCCTGGCTCCTGGGACCTGCATCTCCAGCATGCCGGCCGCTCACCGCAGAGCCGAGAGCGCCCCGGCACCCAACGCCGCCACCATCGCCGGCCACAAAGGAGGAAGCCCCGGGGGCTGCCGTCCCACGCCCCGCGCCCGCCCTGGCTGCCTGCTGGACCTGCCTGCCTGCTGGAGCTGCCTGCCAGAGCTGCGCAACCAGTGCTCGAGTCCCTGCAACGGGATGCCAGAGGGGAGGTAGGGACAGCGGGCAGGCGGGCGGGGGTGGCTGAAGCTGGGCAAAATGCAAAAAATAAATGGCCAAGTTCAACTTAATGATATAAAAATCAATACTAAAGCTGAAGTGAGCTTTATAGATTTATTCATTCCTGTCCATATTATTAATGTGATTAGAGAGAGTATAAACTATGTCATTCTGAATGAATGTGGCTTGCTTTAGAAAGTGAGGTAGGAAATTATAAGAAAGAGTATTTCTCAATGCATGGACCTTACACACAGTAGTACTGTAAGTTCAGGCCAGTGTATACATTAAGATGATAAGTCAATAATGTATTTCAATTGATAGTAGGTTCTATTTTAATTGAACTACTTTTCTAATTTTGCTTTTAGATTACTTCAAGTTTGTTCCATGATATATGGCAGATCATAGTTTTAGGAGGATTTTTTAAAAAATGATAAACTATCAGATTGTTTTAACAGAAAAGTGTCATCTTTATATCAATTTTACATATTTTTCTCAGAGAATATTTCTTATTAGGTAGGTTAAAATGTTAATACATTTGAAGATGTAAAATAAATGCTTTAAAATAAATCAGTGAATTATCCCCTTTTGCTTATTTCTCAGGAGTGAAACTAACTTGACATAATTCAAAAGTTCCCTAAATAATTTCTCTGGTCAATTATCTCATGTAGAACAAAGGAGGAGCACTGACACTTTCCAGATGTCCCCTCCTGCCTATTGCATTTATTCAAATGCCATACTCTAAATGTAGGCATATGATTATTAGTACAGAAATAAAATAGAGCTGGACCAGCAAAATGACCATCTGTACATAATTTTATATAATTTATAGCATCTGGAACTGCTCCATTTCTGATGGGTGATCCTTCAGCAGAGACTCATTACTAATAGGAGTTTCTTTCTCTGCCATGCATAATTTCCAGCCATTCCAAAGATTCATCTGTGAAAGGAACATACCTGACCTCTACAGCATCCTCCATCACTGTCATATCAGTTTTGCACTTGGCTGATGGATTGATGGCCAATTCAGCAGGTGGGATCACAAAGCTTTTGCTCAGTGGCAGCCACATCCCTTCCCCGAGAGTGTAGGTGAATCTGCATTCATAGGAGAGAGTTAATCAGTTTGAAAACTACATGGAAAAACACAAGAAATTAGTATTTTTCTACTAGTTTATTTCTATGCTTGCAGAGAGAGGTTATTTAAATTACCTTGCCCTAGTCTGCAATTCGGTTACTTCTTTCTCTCCAATCTTATTTAATGTACACACACACACACACACACACAGAGAGAGAGAGAGAGAGAGAGAGAGAGAGAGAGAGAGAGAGAGACAGAGAGACAGAGAGATAGAGACAGAGACAGAGACAGACAGACAGACAGACAGACCGACCACAACTTATGTATGGTGACTCCTTCTACTCCATGATCATAATGCTATTTGATTTAATACTAAATGCAATTAACATTATCTAGACAGTTTTTCAGTTCTACAATTTCAAGGTAGCAAAAAATGTGTCATTGAGGATCTATGTATCTTTCACTGATACACCTTATTAAGTGTTGAGTTATTTCATTTATCTTTTTTTTTTTAAATAAGGTGACAATTCTGTCTAGAAGAATTTGTAGGAGACGTGCATAGAGGAGGGAGGAAAAAAAAGAAGTTTTTTTTAAGGAAAGAGCAATTCTTTTAACAAGCAAGAAACAGACATTGCCACAGGTAGTGACTGCAGGAAGTAATGCTTGTTTTCCCTTTTTCTTGTAGTTTTGCTATCTTCCCTGCAACAGAAACCTTCTCCCTTATTAGTAGGCAACTAGCCACAATTACTTTCCCACAAAGCATGTAACATCATGGCAGGGGAGAGTGGCACAAATCATGTCATCAGTCCAGGAGAAATTTCACTATGATTGGAAGCTAATATGAAGAAGGCTCAAAAAGAGAATTTGCTCACCAAAACCATTTTGTTCATATATTCTTATAAAGCTTTTATGATTGCTATTTTACCACAAATTGGGGATTTTTTAATATAAAATTTGAACTGAAAGTTCAAAAAGTTGAATTTTGCATTCAGTCCTTCAGACAATCACTGACATTTTCATAAGCCAACAGCAAGCTGTATGAGATACGGTCATTTGAGAAGATCTAACTTAGAATTCATATTCATACTGTTTCAAGTTTAATTTAAGCAAAATCATATTAGATGCTGGGGTACATCTCTAACTGAAATCCCAGGACTTCCCCTTAATAGCTGTTTCTCCTTACTGACAGCACACAACCAAATCTGATGCTGAATTCTACCTGAATATCTTGTCAGAAGGTTGTTCTCCCAGCACCAAATCAAATCCCCGCTGGAATATGGTATATGGCCATGGCCTGGAAAAAGGGAATAACACATGAAGCACAGAAACAAGTATAAGTGGACCAGCTTTTCCCAATTATTTGTTGTATGGTTATTTGAGAACCTGATAACTGACTCAAGAAGTAAACTGACTCTAGGCATCTATATCAGAACAACTAAAAACAAAAATGTAATATTCAATTATTCCATACATTAGAACTTCACAAATACATATTGGGTTTAATCCCCACAAAAAGGAACAGAGCTGAATTCTTATAACAGCCTCCCAGTCTGACACTATATAATAGCAATGACATTTTAGGCAAGGAGTATGATAGTCTCCCCCAGATGGAAAGGGAGGATTCACTGTAGTAGCCAGCACTAATATATTTGAACACTCCCCGGGATCAAGGCTGAGCATGTGTTAATAAAAATCTAATGCTAAGCCAAGAACTTTTTATTACTTCTTTTATTTGAATGAGTCAGATGTCCATCAGCATCAAGAAACATCCAACTAGATTTGCAGAAACTGACTTTGTGTATACTACTGTATATACTGTATACAATGTATGTATACACATACTGTATGCACACAAATACATATAAACTTATTTCTATATTTTGAACATGTTGTGAAATTCATTTTCATTCATTTATACAATATCTTTACCATTTGAAATATGTACTCTATAGCACTGCATATTAAAAAGAAAGCACCCCTATTTTTTCTATATTAGCTTACAACTGAATCAAGAACATTCTTTAAAACCAGTGTTAAACACAAATGTGTTAATATGCAAATTAGTCTCTTTTATTAGAACTGTAATAAAAATGCATCTAATTCTGAAGGATCAGAGAAATAAATCAGCAACTGCATGAAAACATTTTTTCAATTTTTACTATTTATTTATTAATCAAATTTATTTAGCCATCCATCACTGAATACGATTCTGGCCAATGCAGGTTATTAAATTATGGTTTTAATAACAAAACTAATTTAATTTACATTAAGAGAAAAGCTTCAAGGAGAAAAGATTTTAATTCCAAAATAACTGAAAAATATTTAGACTGTAAATCTTAGCTTGGTTTATCTTGAACAAAAATTATAGAGTTTACTTTGCAATAAAAATTATTTGTTTATGCTTATAAAATCTAGCCCAAGTCTGACTCAAATCTGGAGAACACTTACTTATTAGTAGTCTATATAAACTAAGACCTTAGTTAATACATAGAAAACAAATTGATTATATTATTGCTAAAAGGAGGAGGAGATTAATTATTGTATCAAAGACATGGCCAGGTGGTTTCTGTGGAATTGTGTTTCATAAATGAATGAATGAGTAAATAAAATATGCTACAGAATTTTCTCATTGATAACTCACAGCGATGAACAGCCTGACCCCACTGAAATTCAGAATCAGCCAGTGTAAGCCCACTTGCAAAACCCTCTCAAATAGGATACAATCTGAAGAATCTTGGAGGAAAAACTATCATTACTGATTTTGGTATTTTTCGTACTGACATATGCACTGGTTGGAACTCACAGGATAGAAAATGGAAGAAACAAACAATTTTTTTCTACAGTGATTCTAACACTTTAAAATGTGTCCTGTGGATAGAAACTCTAACTATTATCTCTGCCACCATTTCCCGAAAGAGATATTGGCTTTTTTCCATGTGCACAATGAAAACTTAGAGACTATTATACTTGCTCTTTTAGAGGCCTAATAGAAGGATGATCATTCTTCACTTGTTCCATCTTTTCAGTCAATATCATTTTGCCACCTGTCATTTATGTCACTTTGTTTATTTCCAATGTTCTTCTCTCTTTAGTGCTTCTCTCTTCTTTTCCTTTATGTTCCCTGCAGGTTGCTTGGTAAAAGGATTCTTTACCTCTTGGTGAGTATTTTAGCTGACTACTCTTTATAGTTCACAAAGAAAAGAAAAGCCAATCAAATGCAGTTCAGTGCCTGATGAGCCTGGTTTCATATGTTACTCAAGCTATACATTCAATCCGTATATAAAATTGGTGAATAAAGGGGTTATGCTGAACAAAGGAAACCAGACCAGTTACTCCATTAATTACAAAGCAAAATGTGAAACTTGGAATTTTAGCATCCTAACATTATTTCTATTTAATTATACATCTTAATGGTTGAAGAAACCACCTGCAAATGGGTTAAAAAGTATTTTTATTTTGGAAAAAAATCCCTGTTTTATTCCTTATATTACTTTTCATAGCGCACCATCTCTAGCTCCCATGCCATTAAGCCTTTCTTTTTTTTCAGTTGATCGTCTTGCATTCCGTATTTCAACACTTAGTAAAAAAAAATATTTGACATTTTAAAGAACAATTCAACTTTCAAATTGCAAGTTATGGCATGGTACATAGTCTTAAAATGTAGTCCCATGAAATGTCAATGAAATAATCATGATCAAAAGAAAAAGCACGACTGTAGTAAAAATGTATATGAGAATGGATTCAATATCTCCTTAACTGAATGACAACAGAAAACAGTGGAACAGAATGGTTTGAAAACAAGACTGAGCAGAATTACACAGAACAATTCATATGGATGTATTTTAATTAATAGGATTTATTCTAAGTTCAGAACCTGGCTACCTTGGTCAAAAAACATATGAGATTGTGAATGGAGAACTGGAAGTGCTTATTCATTTATCCATAACTGCATGGGAAGAGTTTTACTACAAGTTGATTTCACAGCTTGTGTATATGGGTTCCTGTTTGTGGGCTGCACTGCTATGGTTTGTTGATCTGTTCTTTTTAAGGCCTTGTGCAACATCCAGAATCACTTTTGGGAGATCACTGGTCATATCAATTGTTTAAACAAAAATTAGATAGGTATTTAAAGTATGTCCATTGTTCCCAAAAGCTTGGGGACTCTATATTAAATTAGGGATGGACAACTCTATGAATAACAACATAGCTAGGCAAACTTTCTTTTGCAGAGTAGCCTATCTTCTCCACACCTTATAGAAAATGTTCTGTTACTTGTACGTACTACCATAGCTCTGGGAGGATGGAATATGAAGGGATGTGTCAGTAAACAGTGCAAACAGTTTGAAATGGGTGTAGGCAATTCTTAGCATATTCTGGTTTTAAACAATTCATACCCTAAGGATGCACAATAATTTGAATTGAGCCCAGAAGCAAAATGATAACATGCATACATGCATACATACATACATAAGTATGAAAAGAATGTATATATATATATATATATATATATGTTGAACAGTCATCAAATGTAGATCTACATAGCCTAGTGGACTAATTTAAAAATTAATAGCCTATTAAATAATATAGCTCGGGCCAGCATCTTGAAATGATTCAAGATGCTGGCCCATGATTCAAAAGAATACCACTGTTAGCAACATCAGAGAAATGATTAGAAACAGAAAACTGCCTTCAAAATGCTACGGTCTTGCAAAATGAGAACTCAAAACATAGCAAATTGGCAGAGTGAGAGCAAAGACAATAAAAAATGCAAAAATGAGCAACCAAAGGCTTTTAGCAGCAATATGTAAAGTATAACATATGCAATACAGCATGTTCTGTTTCTATATAGTGGTGTTCCTAGAAAAAAATAAATTTCAAATAGTCTGAGAAGTCATATTCCTGGAAATAATCTTATGAAAAAGAAAGTGGTTCACTGGTTTGTGGACTAGGTTCACACGAGGGGGGGAGGGACAGAGACAGACTAAACGGGCAATAACTACCTGTGTAGGGAGCTGGACCCGTGTTGGACAGCTCAGTAACAAAGTTTATCCAGTGTTTAGCTACTGAAAAAAGATCCATATTAGGAATCACCAGGAAAAAATTGAAAACTAAATTGAAAAAATAGTAATGCATTTAGATTATTGAAACATTGTCAATTTGTGGCCAGTTTCTTATGTACTATTTCAATCAAAATAATCGGGAAAAAATGGTGGGTCAAAGTTCATGATGGGCACCAGTGTGATTTTCCAGAGAAATCTCTCTTGATCAGATCAGTGGCTTATTCAGTCTGATGTTCAGTCTACAGTAGTAGGAACCTTTTGAACATGGATGCCATTTCCTGTTTATAAGCAGCATCTTGTATTAGTCAAAACATCTTCAGAAACATTCTTATGCTAATGCTAAACTAATATTTTAAACCAAATCTCACAACAGCATTTTTTTTATCAGTCTGGGTAGAGTATATACCCTAGATAGGATAATGGTTCATTATTATTATTATTTGAGGAATTCCAGTGTAACTATCATTTTAAAAAATGCTGAGAGGCAATGATTTAAATGTCTTTTGACATCTACATATAACTGACAGCCCTCAAGGGCTTCAAAATGTCTGTGTTAGAAAATAGCTTGATCTTTTCAAAATAATAAGACTATAATAGCTATTCACAACAGCCATTGAATTATATCAGATTAAATGTCCAAGTGCGAAAGCAGATATGAAATACAGATTTTTTAAAGAAATTGTTCATTCATATAATTTAGAAGTGATGTTGAGCATTCAAAGTTAATTGGTTTGATCTGACAGTGAGCCATAGCAGCATCTTTTCAAAACTGATTTCATATAGAATTTAATTCCACAAGTATATTTGTAACTGTTCATATACTTTTGAATTACAAACTATCTGGGGATGGAAAGGAAGGCAATGGAAATGGAATTCTATGCTTTAATGGTTATTCAGAGGCTAATGCTACAAAACTGTGACCATAACTTTTGTTCTGTATTAATTATAAAATGGTATGAAAAGATCCTACTTCATTTGAAAAAATACTTTACATTCTGGAGTGAACTGCTTAGAAATCTAGATGATATATACTAGCCTAATTGCTTGATACTGACCTGCCTGCCTGCCACTGATTTAACTTTTAATAATTTAATTGAATACCATACTAATATATATGTAAGTAAGTTAACTCTTCGTAGTGTTGAGCTCAAATGCTAGTGGCTTGCTTTACTTCATGTTGTTTCCTTGGCAAATGGTGGGGAAAGGGTTTAGCAGTGCCTTTTCCCAGGATTTTATTTTAACTTTTAAATTTCTTAGTATAATCTATAGGAAAGTATGTCTTTATGATTTCCACCCAATTATTAACCAAGCTCAATCTTTCCTAGATTTTTTTTTTTAGATCAACCAAGGCTGATTATAGCAGGGTAAAACTATTTTTCTATACATGTAAAACTGGGCTTTTCTTTAGTTCATCAGAGAAATATGCTTCCCCCTCCCTCTCCTCCAATCTAATTAAAATAAAAATTAAAAATACATGTTCTTATTTAAACTTATGGTGGTACTAGACATATCCTTGCTTGTTTATTCTATAAGGCCTATGTG